GTGCTTGCTCATCTTATACCTCTGCACCCAATTCAATGACCCCAGTCTCAATAATGGGCACCAACTTATCTTCCACCTGTACCAGCAGGATGGTCTTGTCAATATGGGAGCGACTGGCTGGGTCTCTGCTACAAGGCACCCACCGGTGAAGCACCTGCAGAGGGCAACAGAGGAGGCAGCGCTGTGAGAGGAAGCAGCCAATCAAATTTATGAAGCGTTTCTCACAGAGCAAGTAGGTCACAGAGAGTTACGGGTCATAAAATAGGACACAAGCCCAAACAAGTTAAGCATACTGTAGCAAAACTACGTGTATAGCATGAGAGGTCAGACCGTTTGAGTGTGTGTACTGGATGGATGTGACAACTTTCAGCTGTTTATAAGTGAACCCAGTGATACTGAGGTTTATCAGCTGTTAGAAAGTACTTACATGTCCTTCCATGCCCTCTAAAGGGCTCCAGTCCCTCCAGCAGGTCCGTCCTGCCCTCAGTCTCATGGTTTCATCAGGCCACTGCAGCTCCTTCCTCTTTGATAGGTTGATGTTCTCCAGAACCTGACTCACGTCCACAATCTGGACCACATCACAGAACCACAGCAGTGAAATTCACATGGCAGCTGAACTGAGGGTTGTTATTCAAAGAGATGATGGACATGTAAATAGATTGTATAAGGTCAAACCCACAGGTGTAGATGCAAGTGCAAATGGTTCATTCCTTAGTTCAGTTCAGTTTGTCTGCTGGATTACTGTGGCTGAATAATTTAAGTCATAGCTCCTAAAGTTAACAAACCTGCACTCTGTAGGAGATGTCATCTCTGCGCACGGTGGAGACTGTGGGGTTGTGCTGATGGTGGAGATGCTGGCTGAGGGGGTCGGTGACGGTGCAACACAAGCCGTCGTTACCCAGGAGACCCACCAGTGTATGGCGTTTGCAGGGAGGGATGCTGTGGCTGGACAGAGAGACAGAGGGGCCAGTAGTGTCAGAGGTGGAGCCCAGCCGGAGCTGCAGGGAGGTGGGGAGCGTGCGCAGGGACAACTGGCTGGTGGAGGAACGTCGGCAGGGCTCCAGGCCTGTGGTGGAGGTGCGCAGAGAGGAATGACGGCTGCTGTAGCGGTAAGAGGACAACTGGCTGGCAACAGAGGCTCGAGCAGGAGAGTGGCGTACCAAACCCAGCTGAACAGACTGAGAGCTCTGACTGGTGCCTGAACGCAGAAGTAGAATTAATACAGTTAAAAGAATATTCCCGTGAGAAGACTGGAGATTAAAAAGCAAAGAGTGAAAACTGACATTTAGCCCCTAGTATGGACTCAGTCCCAACAATGCTGTTTCCAGCAGTTCCCATAATGCATGTCAATATGTTCCTTCATTAAATGCCCCCTGCCTGCCATGTTTCAAATTCCACTTCACAAGTTTGTGAAGGGGCTGTAGCTCATGAGGTAGAGCAGGTCGTCCCATAACCGGAAGGTTAGTGGTTTGATTCCTGACTTCTCCAGTCCACGTGTTGAAGTGTCCTTGAGCAAGACACTGAACACCAAATTGCTCCTGGTGATGTCACCGGTGTGTGAATGTGTGTGTGTGCGAATGGGTGAATGGGCAAATAGTGTGAAAGAACTTTGAGTGTGCTGCAATGCACAGTAAAATGTTATACAAGTATAAGACCGTTTACTTTAGAATATCTGTCATGAGTGTTTTCTCAGGACCACAGGACACATTATGCAACTGTTTCTCCAGCCTGAGTAGCACCATCCATGATAAACTGACCGGAGCGTCTCTTTATTGAAAACACTCAGTAGAACTTTCATCTAAAATATACATACTACATAGTTGCAAGTCAATAAAATAATTATTTGTCATAGGATTCACAGTATTAACGGTTTTCAAGTGAAACCGTTCTCACCCAGAGTGTGGGGCTGGTACGAGAGGGGTGGGACAGGTCCAGAAGTCCCACCCTGTGACACTGAGCTCTGCTGAGAGTCACCCCCAGTCCCATTCCCACTGCCAGAGGACAGCCCCCCCACGTCTGGATCCTCAATGTTTCCCCCACTGTTACAGCCGGCACCACAGCCTTTCCGTAGCCTAGGAGAGAAAAAAGTCACTTCTTATTGAACAAAAGTCATTAAAAAAAAAAAATTCATCATCAACAGAGCACACAGTAATACAACACACTACATGTTTTGTGATCACCATACTGAACTGCACAGAACCACAAACCTGTGCCAGGTGCTGACAACAAAGTTGCGGATATTCCCGATGCTGATGGGGCCTCCCAGGATGTGTCCGAGCTGCGGGTGCGTGTTACAGTAGGAGGTGGTCAGTGGAGATACGTAAATCGGATACCCAATGGGCTGGTCGCAAGAGGAATTGATCATGTTGCGTAGAGCCTGCTTGGCGTTCTGGATACTCCCGCGCTCTGGGTTTCTGTTTCTGAGGAACACAAGCTCCTGCTGCTGTCCTGCCCAGAGACCTCGCACACATTCTTTATTCACCTGCAGCACAAGAGGTGAGCTCTCAGTAAATACTGGGTCTCAGAACTAGTGACAATCAATAACGCAGTCTGCAATTATTTAAAATCTGGTGTAGCGCCCACCTTGATCACACGGAAGCTGAGGTATCGTCGATTGAGCATAATGATTTTGTACTCGTTGGTGCCTTCGTCGAGGACATGGCGCAGGGCGAGCAGTGACGGTGCATTGGACAGCACAGCACTCCTCCAGGCTGGGTCGCCCTCGTGAGCGATGACCAGGTTCTGCTGGTGGGAGGAGATGGCCTCAAAAAGAACTGCTGGCTCATCGTACTCATCAGGGGAGGTGAAGTGGTCCTAACAACGAGCAGAAGTATTTTGTTACAGTTTAACCCTGTTTATGCATAAATGGCAAATAAAGATTCTGAACCTTGAGAACAACGTCATAAGTAACGTCATGTTGTTCTCACCTGGTGTAATTTGAGAGAAATTCGGATTCCGGGCACCACAACTTTCCTGAGTAGTTCCATGTCTGCAAAGATCCACTCATCTCGCACTGATGAGATGCGGAAATCTCCCTTAAATAATGCATGAAGTCCATAAAGGAAAGACTCCAGGTTGCTGTGATGGAAAACGGAGCAAAGACACAGTTTACTTGTTACTCAAAGCACAGATTAAAAAATATTTTTATGAACACATGCATATATGAAGTTAGGCAGACTTTTTTACTTGACCTATGCAGTATGACTTTTTTTTTTTAATTAGGAAGAAAACATTGGATGTCTCAGGAAATCCTTGCTGTGGTTCTGTTTAATGTGTTTTTCTGGCCGACCTAAGTCTCCCCCAATTATAACAAATTATTGACTCCTAATACAATTGTTAATCAACCTGGACATGTGATGGGCTGCTGTTCCCAGAGCTCTCCTTCCCAGCACACACAGGCCGAAGCAGAGCAGCACCAGAGCAGAGTCTCTCTCACTGTCCAGTGGCTATGAGCAAGAAACAGTTAAGGTTCAAGAAACTCAAACGCCATCTTTAGAGTGAAAAGTCAACACATGAATCTGACATTTTTCTCTGCCTTTAAAACATGCCATCCTGTCATCTCTTAAAGTTTGGCTAAAATCAAATTGCTGGGAGGCATTTATGAGCATCAAAACCCCCTGAATTTTGCTTACAAACAGTCATTGTTAGGCCACACAGTGCAAACACAATCCCTCCAACTGTCATCAGAGCTGTCCAGTGGTGTCAAAGACATTGCCTGAGATGCCACTTTGGCATATTTTAATTCTACAACCTGAACAAACTGATCAAGTGTGGCCTGTTTTAGTGTCACACCTGGGCTTTTCAACTTTCCATCACCACCTGGGAAACAACCATCCCACTATGAAGAGGAAACTTAAGTCAGCTCTACCTTGGCCCTTCGAGAGTTGCAGTACTGGATCCAGCCCAGGTAAACTGCACAGAAACTGTCCCTGGAGATTCCTGCCAGGCGATGGTCATAGTCCTCGTCTATGTTGGGATTGAAGGTGGGATCCAGGTCAACATAGTTCCTCTCGCTACATCCCCGCAGGCCGTCTTTCATGGTCTCATTAGCCAGCCACTCTTCCAGTTTAGGGGAAGTGATCACATAGTAGATGATTCCCTGAGCCCAGAAAGGGACAATGCATTTAGATCATACCTGTATATGAATCAGAAAAAAGTTATCTTAATCGTCAGCATCATCTCACTAACCTTGACATAGTAGGTGGTGAGGATGCGTCGCAGATCAAAGACCTGCAGCATGGAGGCGGCGCTGTTATCAGTGATGCTGTAGCCCTCCAGCACGTACTTGGTGACCAGCACCTCCCAGGCCAGCCAGCGCTGTCCGAAAGCAGCATTAAAGGACAGGATGTGAGGGAGGTGGCCGGGCTCACAGCAGCAGCAGCCCTCATCTTCCTCCACCCCCTCAGTTATGGCCTCCACCTCTCTCTGCTGGCAGTAAGTTCCTGGGGGGTTGAAATGAACACATTCACAATACAGTAGTGGCTGTGCTGTTTCTGTAAAACAAACAACAAGCAAAAGAACTGCACACATCGACAGACAGAAGAGCTACAACAGTCATCCGAGTTGCTTTAAGAAAAAGAGTCGACATGCACAGAGAGAGCTGCAGAGTTGCTGACAGTCTGGTGATGAGTGTCACACTTTGAGTAGTGCCCTCAGTTCTGTAAAAGTTCACAGCGTGTCACATGCAGTGCGTTTGTTGTGTAGCAGTAATGCTGGTTCAGCTACACAAACTCATGCTGATCAAGCACACACACACACACACACACACACACACGGGCGTGTTGACCAGAAGATAAAGCACAACTGGACTGGCTACCGGTGGACTGCTGATTTAACAAATGGGAAATGCTGAGGAAGTGGTTTATGTTCCTGATTTATGTGTACTTTCCTAATCCAGACCCAAGTCTAATACTTGGCAAACAATTCTTGTGGTTTGGTTTAACTTGCTTTGAGTGTTTGGAAGTCTAGACCTGTGTTCGATTTGGTGCCACATTCTTCCATTTGTGTCTCACGTAGATCTCACCTCTGAACTCCAGCCCTCGGAGCTGAAAGGTCACGAGGCCGTTGCCGATCTCTATAAGGTGCACCAGAGCGTTTAGGTAGTCTGAAGCCAGAATAAAGCAATCCCCAGTGCTGAAGTTTCCCCAACGGCCCAGGAGGAGGTCTCCACACAGGCTGTGCTGCAGGGAGCGAGTAAGGTGCTCGTAGAAGATGGAGTTCAGATTGTTGTCATCAGAACCTGGAACACACTTGTTCTTTAAGTCTGAATCACATAGATAAGAGTGTCTCCCAGTTTGACTACATGACACGCAAATATCCCAAAGAAGTGAGCAATTCCAATATAAACATCAGTTGTATGCCGCCAAAACTAAATTTTAAAAGGAAACCTTCTGGTTCAAATTGAATGTCAATGCCCTCACCAGGATTTCTGTCCAGCTGAGAGGCCAGTCGAGTGTTAGTGTGATCCACTCTCTTAGTGCTACAAACACAAAAGATAGAAAATCACAAATTTCAGGAACAACTAAAGAGAAACAGTATTAGCTTTGAACATGGAATAGTATTGAGAATTTATTTACTTGTAGTCTCTCTCCCAGAACTTTATGGGGCGGACATAGGAAGTGATGAAGATGGCACTGCCCAGGAAGGGGTTGAGGGGGGTGGAGAAGACCGCTGAAATTATAGCCTGAACAAACAACATAGCAGAGTCTGGAGGGGCTCAGGTCAAGGGTCACTTGAAAGATATTCATGCTTTATATACAATAGCTATCTGCTATGTGCGTATTCACTGTAAAAGGAACCTGATAAAATATCAGACTTTTAGTTACACAGAGGAAACGGTTTCCAACGCACTTCAGTAAAGTTTAAACAATTCAAACACCAACTAGGAAATTAAAAAAAACTGCCAATCAACACAATGTCAAAATCTGATCCTTACTGGCTTCTAATGCTACAGGTGTACCCATCAAACTGGTGACTATGTGCAGCGGATGTCATGGTAAAAGACAACAGTAAAAGGATACGAGGCACAGCAAAGGGCTGAGCAAAGGCGTGGAAGGCTGATCCCCATGTGATCTGCCAGGGGGCGATGTAGGTGTAGACAAAGTGCATCTTGTAGAACAGCTCCCACAACTGAGAAAACATTAAATTGCAAAGATAATTATTATTTAATACTTACAGGCATTAAATGTCTCGTGTACATAGCGAGAACAGTGAAAGTTGTGCAGCTCTCACCTTGCTAAAAACAATGGACATGAGGAAAAGGTCGAGCAGCAGCGTCTCAGACAGATGACGGTAGTCAAAGGTGAAGAAGAGGACGGTGAAAAGGATGGTCACATACTGGTAGGTAGGACTGCTGTAAGAGGAACGAAGCAGCTTCAGGCCGGCTACTGTGATCATCAGAGCGCCAACCCTGGAGGACGTTTTAATACACTATCAGAGACCAGCGTGTGGGAACACATCAAACATGACAATGTGTGTGACAGTATATGAAGATAAAAAGTAAGACAAAAAGATAATGGTAAATGTTCTCACTCTGTATCAAGTTTCTTTGGACTGGCGAGTTCTCTGGCACTGCCACTCAGCTCATTAAGGATGACGAGAGGATAAAGAACATTCTTTTCCACAAAGAGCAGCCACACATGCAGCTTTTCAAACCACATCACATGAGCCGCATCTGACAAGAGAGACGGGGGAAGTTAAGAGAAACATAATTCTGTTACATGGAGTCAAAATCACCACAAGATACTGCAGAGTTAGGAGACACAGAACAATTAAGAGGCAATCAAAAATAAAGACTAAAGGAAAAATGTCAACATTGTGAGTCAGCGGTTGATACAAAACAGTGATGCTGAGAGCCAAGTTTCTGCTGCTTTGTGATGCAATTGACTTACCTCTGACTTCAAACTGATAGTACTCCTTTGTTTTGAGCAGGGGGTGAGAGAAGCAGTACCAGGGCAGCTGCTTGCGGACTTGAGGCAGCAGGTAGTGGGTGAGCAGCCCAACGGTCCCCAACAGCGCATACAGGACGTAACTGAGGAAAGGCTGAAAGAACAGAGAAGGTGGATGATGATGCACACATTAACACTCAGAGTCTCTGTCCTCTTGTTTTCAGATAAACAGACAAACATTTTAGGGAATAAAAACACAGGTTTCATTTAATTTCTTGATGGTTAGAGGTCTTCATAGTCTTGTGTCAGTATCTATAGTGATCATTCTGAAAAAATATGACCACCTGTTAACCACCTGGCCGTTTTATAATTCATGTTGTAGCCTGTATGTATCCCAAAAATGTCAGACATGATATTTAATCAATATTTACTGTACCTGTAGTGCAATGAAAACTGTGCTGACGTGGATGGCAAAGTAAAGGACTGCAATGACCACACAGACGATCAGGTCGGACTGCAGACGCTCATTCTGTGATATGAAAAGAAAACTTTTTATACTTTTTTTTTTTTTTACTTTATGCTGAACATTAAAGCTGGGGAAAAGCCAGCGTCTTTAGCAAATTTAACTTCACATTATCAAAAGACAACTGCTTTCCTTAGCAGGTCAACTCACCACTGAGGCCTTCAGCTTCTCTGGTAGAGGGTCCTGTACCTCTGACAGAGGGTCCTCTGGGTTCTTGTCTTTTAAACTGGGCAAAACCTTGGACTGTATAAGTGAGCTGTAAACCAAAAATCACAAATATCAGCTGATTCTAACATCATGAATGTCCTGGGGGTGACTTATCTCAGAGGGAGTGGTTAATCAGCTGTTAACACTACATTACAACTATCGTGTGAAACCATTTCAAGTTATATGTTCCAAGTATTTTTAAAATGCTAGGAAAACCCGTCAGACATAATCCACAGAGTAAGAACAGAAAAGAGACAGCTTATATGCTTCAAGTAAAAAAACCAAACAAAAAACAACTAGAAGCCGACAGCTTCTCACACTTGAAGCCTTTTACAACACAAGCCTCAATATTCATCTCTCTGTGAGTCACAGTTCAGACAATGCACAGACTATCTGACTGAGGTCTGCTGTGCAAGGCACTGGACTTACATGAGGACAGAGGGGTCGCCGCTTTGCCGGCTCAGGTGGTACGACACCGCCACCAAGAGGCCGCAGAAGACAGAAAATAACACAGGGATGTGATGAGGCTCCCAGGTCTCCTGAGACAAAAGACAGAGCATGTCTGTCATTATTGTGCTAATTAGTCAGGATACAGCGTTAGTTTCCAGCAAATTAAAGTACCTATTCAAACCACTAAAAAGTAAAGAAAAGATTCACAAATGTACAAATAGATGCTCAGAAAACCTGACATATAATGTAGTGTTTAAAGTTTCCAAAAATTGTACAAGCACACTTTATTTAACATGGTCTTCAAGCATCTTAGACATTAATGCTGCTATAATGACAATGTCTTCTAACTGCTGTTCTCTACATGTAGAGGACATAGTTTGACAGTACTACTACAATGTATTTCTGTCATCAGATGATATGTGGGTTAGATTTAGACGTCTTAGTTGACTTTGTGCTCACCTTCAGTGCTCCATAGCAGAAGCCGTAAAGCAGAGCGACGGTGACGATGCTACGCAGGATGCTGTACAGCGCTGACAGGAGGCTTGTGGAGGCTGCAGAGAACACAGCGACCATGTAGTAAACCATTTGACCGGACAGGTAGAATGCAAATCAGCGTTCTGGCCTCTTATGAAGCTTGCCACATCATAATATAAAAGGCACAACAGTGTGTATGAGTGTCTCCTGTGTCAACGTCACCTCTGCAGAGAGGTTGTACAACTACAAGTCACTCACCATTGCCCCCAAACACATGGATGTCCAGCTGCTCAAAGAGGTACATGACGAATGTGTTGACTTGAGGCAGCAGCCCCACAAAGAAGATGATGGGAAAACACAAAGTGAACACTGCAGGGAAACACAACAGGTGACAGTGTGACAAAATGAAACATTGATCAGTTTATAACATTTTCATCTTCAAATTTTGTTATTTTCCAGATATCACATATGATAGATGAAAACTTTTATTATTCTCCAGCTTTGCCTGTGGGCTGCACATATTATTGGTTCATACTGGTGCACACAGACAAGTCTCCAGGGCCAAATGCAGCAAGTACTGTTGATTGTTGTTTGATGAAAGGTGGTGTTAATAGTCTCTGAACAAATAAACATTGCTTTAAGTAGGGAGACTGCAGCTCATATGATGGATAGTTTGCACTTTCTGACTGTGGATACTCTGATGATCCTGTGACCGGGGCTCTATCTCTGGCTTTGGCCAAACAAACAAAGTGCAGGAGTGGTTTTTGTCATGTATCGTTATGTACTTTCGCCTGTTAGTGACAGCCAAAAATCGTGGGACTACAATGCTTAAACTATGATAACTTTGACAGCCTGATGCCCTCCAGTAAGTTATCTCTGATTCACATCTTGTTTTTGACTGTAATGTCAATAAAGTAGCAGAGTCCTGTTTTTATTGCCTGTGTATTGTTTTAAAATATTTTTATCACTCTTACTCAAATATTAATCTCTTCCAGAAACTGTAACTGTCTCTTTAAACTGACAATTTATCCTTCTACGGTGTTTTTTTTCTGTCTTTCTGTGACACACTTTGCAACTCTGTTATGAAAAGTGCTACACCAGTAAAGAAATGTTATCAGTATTATCGCTGCACCTAAATGCCACAGGGAAATACAGCAGGCTGCATGTGTTTGGCTGTTGACCTACCTATGACAAGATCCCTGGCAGAGGCGAGTACCAGGGAGCTGGTGAGCGCGACCCCATACAAGGTGAAGCGGGATGAGCTGGTCCTCAGACTGCTGTAGTGGAGCAGCCAAATGAGGCCACAGCACAGGCAGAAGTATACAGGCCGGCTGTACGCTATGATGCGATTATGGCCCTGCAGAGACAGGGGTACGATGATATAATGGTTCATTACAACAGAACACACTCCCAGTATAGCAAAATATGGAGCATAAAATATCAAATAACAAGTAGTGTTTCTTCAGGTATAGTGCGCTTATTAGAATAGAAATGACTTTCCTGCTTTAATATTTGCCACATGACAGTGCTAGAACCAACAAGTCCATTGTTACCAAGTCCTACTATACTATAAATGTGTGCTCTTGCTGTGGATAAGCATGCAGCAAAATATATATTAATAGCACTGAAAAATGTTCATGCTAATAAGATATTATCCCTAAAGAAAGAATTAATTCAGTAGTACCGGTGCTATGTGAGCCCCAGGGACAGTGACACAGGTACAAACAGAAATAGCAT